TTATTCCTACTACTCTTGATGTTTCAGGACTTAAGGTTCATTTTGTAAACTGAAGAGTAGATTACTGAATAAATATGTAATAAAAATTGCACTCAAAGTTAACCGTCTTGTATTTAATTTGGTCTTAGAACTGTTACTTTTATTTATGTATGTAATGCCTAATTCCTTGTTTGCTATTTTATTTTTTGATGAAGTTTTACTTGAAGTTGTTTTCTTTTTGTTTATAGTATAAAATAGTCTGAGCTTATGTAAGAAAAAATATTCAGAAATTCAAGCTTTTAAGTATATGTTCCAGATATGATTATAGATAATGGCTATATATAGCCATTATCTGTAATTTGGAGATATCTATATATACATATATATATATATATTCATATATATATATACGTATATATATATATTCATATATATATGTATATATATATATATATATGTATATTTATATTTAGGACATAATTTTTCTCTTTCTTTTTTGGTATTAGATGGATGTACTAATAGTTTCAATATAAAATGGTAAGTACTACAATAGAGATAATGCATAGGGTTCTTCGTTATCTTTTTTAAAATTTTTTTTAGTTGTAGTTGGACACAATGCCTTTATTTTTATTTGTTTTTATTTTTATGTGGTGCTGAACCCAGAGTCTCACACTTGCTAGGTGAGTGCTCTACTGCTGAGCCACAACCTCAGGCCCCTCTTGGTTATCTTTTACGTACATAATTTACAAACGACCTCTTGGGCAAATTGGAGGCTTTGTTCCAGTGAAGTTTAACTAAATCTTGAAAGATGACTAGATGAAAGAATTGAGGATGGGATGGGAGTAAAAGAAAGGTAGTGTGTAATTAATAGGAATTTGTATAATTTTATTAACAATTTTCATTGCAGACATAATAAAAAATAAAGATTCTCAGGGCAAGATTGTTGAATTTAAATGTTTTTATTAAGGGAAGAGATGTTCTTTGTCTCTTTGGTGATAAGGAGAAAAGTATTTGTCTTAAATGCTACTATGCTTGGTGAAAGTAATGTTAAATTTTAGAAATCACTTTTTTTTTCATGTAGGTAAATGCGTGAAAAACACCCGATATATTAATGGTGGTTTTTCTTTTCCTTCCTCCAGAATGAAGGGAATGTTTTGATTGCCAAAAGAAATGAAGTACAACAGAAGCTATATATGGCAGTAGAAGTTTTTATTCTGGAAGTGGATGAATTACCACTTAATAAACGCTTAAAAACATTGAAGGTTGGAATTAAAAATATATTAAATATATATTAAATTATAAATTTACTCAGTGAGAGAGGTGAAATTAGTATTTACCTTGAGATTTTAGAAAGTACTGACAGCTGCACAGCTTTTTTTTTTTTTGCTGAATTCCAGTTTAAGTCGTTGTGTGTACCCCCCACACCCTCCTCCTGCCTCCCGGTACTAGGGATTGAACCCAGGCCTGCTTACAGCTGATGAGACGGCCCTTACAGGAATGAAAAATGCCAACAGAATGAAAATATTGTGGTATGAAAATATTGTTGCTAGGATGTGCTTGATGATTGCCATTCTAACTGTGGTGAGATGAAATCTCAGCACAGTTTTGATTTGCATTTCCTTAATTAAAAAAAAGTTTTTTTAGTTGTTGAGGACCTTAATTTTTATTTATTTAAAATAAAAATCCAACCCAGTGCCTCACACATGCTAGGCAAGTCTTCTACCACTGAGCCATAACCTCAGCCCTGCATTTCCTTGATTGCTAAAGATGTTGAACATTTTTTTCTTATATTTTGAGCATTTGTATTTTTCCAGGGAAGTGTCTGTTTAGTTCATTTGCCAACTTATTGATTGGGTGGTTATTTTTATTTTTTGGTGTTCAGTTTTTTGAGTTCTTTGTATATAATCCCCTGTTAAAGAGTAACTGGCAAAGATTTTCTCCCATTCTCTAGGCTCTATACTTTGCTTCCTTTGATGTGCGGAAACAATTCAATTTGATGCCATCCCATTTATTTATTCTTGGTACTATTTCCTGAGTTTTGAGGAAGTCATTGCCTATATGTTGGTGTGGTGACCCTGTATTTTCTTCTGGTAGTTGCAAGGTTTCTGTTGTAATTTCTTAGATTTTGATCCACTTTTGAGTTTACTTTTATGCAGGGTGAGAGAGAAGAATCCAGTTTCATTCTTCTGTATGTAGAGCTGGGGATGTGGCTCAGTGGTAGAGTGCTTGCATATAGCATGTTTAAGATTCTGAATTCAATCCCTAGTTTTGCCAACAAAACAAAGCAGAAAACACACATCATTCTTCTATATATGGATATCTAGTTTTCCCAGCACTGTTTGTTACAAAGTTTACATTTCCTCTATCATGTTTTTGGCATCTTTGTCAAAAATCAGATGACTATATTTGTATGGCTTTGTCTCTGTCATCTATTCACTGGTCTTGGTATGTGTTCTTATGCCAATATCAACCTATTTTTTTTTTTTATCATAGCTCTGTAGTATATATAATTCGAAGTTGCAATGCCTCCAGCATTGTTCTTTTTGCTCAGATTTCTTTTGACTATTCTGGGTCTTTTATTTTTCCTTATGAATTTTAGATCTTTTTTTTTCCTAGTTTACCATAAAAGAATGTCATTGGTATTTTGATGGAGATTGCACTGAACCTGTAGATTGCTTTTGGTAATATGGCCATATTAATGATATTAATTCTGTCCATTCACAAACATGGAAGGTCTTTCCATGCTCTAGTGTCTTCTATTTCTTTTTCAGTGTTCTGTAATGTTCATTGTAGAGGTCTTCACCTCTTTGGATAGATTTATTCTTAAATATTTTATTTTTTAAGGTAATCATGAATGAAATTATTCTCATGTTTTTTTAGGGGATTTGTTATTGGTGTATGGAAAAGCCATTGATTTTTGTATGTTGATCTTCTATTCCTGTTACTTTGCTGAATTTATATCAGCTCAAAAAGTCTTCTAGTGGAGTTTTTTTTTAAATTTAAATATAAAATCATCATCTGTTAACAGCCATACATTGACTCCTTCCTTCCCTTTTTGTATCTTATTCTCCTGTGTAATTGCTGTGGCTAAAATTTCAAGTACTATATTGAATGGAAGTGATGAGTGTGGACGTTTTTGTCTGGTTTCTATTTTAGAGTAAATGCTTTAAATTTTTCCCCATTCAATATGATGGTGGCTTTCGTTTTGTCATATATAACCTGTATGATGTTGAGGTAAATTCCTTATGTCCCTAGTTTCTCTAGTAGTTTTAACATGAATGGACACTTTTGCTTTCTAGTGGTTCAATGTATGCAATTTTTTTCATGTAAAAATTACTTAAAAGTAACCTTTAGGGTATGTGTATATGATGTATATGAAACACAAATGAATTTGGTGTTTTGACTTGGAAAACACATCCCTAAGATAACTCATTATGTATTTGGAGATAGTTTAAAACCTGAAACACTTAAAGCATTTTGGAGAAGAGATGCTTAACCTGAATTAAAAGACTTTTTGCCTGCCTTGTCTCTTTATTTACCTACGTCACCAGAATATTCTTTAAACTTTGGTTCATTTTGCTAAGAAATAGTTTGTTTATATTTTTCAAGTACTTAAGAAACACATTTCTATAATGAAAGTTAGTCAAAAAAGTTAAAGTTCATGATTTCTAACTTCCAGTGCATTTATTAATCCTTTTGTCGCATAAAATACATGGTTGGTTTTTCATAATTGTTCCTTATGAGTTAAAAAAGTATATTCTAGGTTTTCTTGGGGTGCAGTTCTAGATATACACAGTCATTTATCACTTAATAAAGGGGATACATTCTCAGAAATGCATTGTTAGGCAGTTCCATTGTTGTGCAAACATCACAGAGTATACTTACATAAACCTGGTAATATAGCCTATTAATGAATACCTATAAGTGGTACCTATAAGTGGTAGAGCTTATTTCTTTTAGGCTACAAATAAGTACATTTTTTCTGTACTGAATACTGTAGGTGTTTGTAATGCAGTGCTAAGTATTTGTGAGTGTGAACATTGAAAAAGTATAGGAAAAATATGGTATAAAAGATTAAAACGGTGCACCTTTATAAGGCATTTACCATGGGCTTGCAGGATTGTAAGTTGCCCTGGTGAGTTGCTAAGTGAGTGGTGAGTGAGTGTGAAGCCTTGGGACATTATTTTACATTACTGTAGACTTTATGAACACTATGCTTAGGTGACACTAATAAAAATAATTTTTAGTTTAATAATAAATTAACCTTAGCTTACTTTATTTTTCAACTGTTTGACTCATGTAGTAATAGTTTAAAATACAAATACATTGTACAGCTGTAAAAAATATTTTTCTCTGTACCCTCAATCTATAAACTTTTTCTGTTATTCAAATTTTTATTTATTTTTACTTTTTAAACTTTCTTTTCTTTTTTTGTTAAAAACAGACACAAACATAGTAGCTTAGGCCTTTGCGGGGGCTTAATAATCAATATTTCTGTCTTCTGCCTCCACATGTTGTCTTACTGGAATGTCTTTCAGACACTCAGAACTGTCATTTCCTATGATGATAATGCTTTCTTCTGGAGTACCTCCTGAAGGTACCTTCCTGAGACTGTTTAAGAGTTAATGTTTTTTTTAGTGATATTTTCATTTTTTTCACTTTTAGAATAAAAATTTTTCTATCATACATGATTGGACACATATTTTGCTTTAAAATTAATAGTCACAATGGAAGAAACAGTGGTTTATTTTTCTAATCAAGTGTGACCAAGCTGCAGAATCTTAAGGCCTCAACAAATGTATCTTAGTATTTTCTCTGAACAATAAGATCTTTTATTTTAATTATTCTTGGTGAACAGTGATGTTGTTTCTTCATTGGTTTCCACTGCCAAAGAGTCATGACGGGTGGTTTAACAGGGGATTCTGTCATATAAATCCTCATTTCCAGTGCAACAGCTGTTGGCAATCTTTCATTGAATGTCCATCCATCAGGATTTCTCTCTATCATGGTTGACCAAGGAGTCAAGCTTTGGCTGCCAGGGCTTCATTCTGCTGAATATGATATTCTTGAAATCTCATGAATATTCTTTGTGTCATTTTTAAATATTTCTGTAAGCAGTGTTCTGAACAGGTGATCTCTTCAGGTTTTACTTGTTGTAAAGTCTTTTACACAGTCCAGAAAGCAGGTTTCTGTAAGTTTATTGTATGTTCCAAGGAATTCCCTAAACTGTTTTATCTGATCAGATTCTGGCATTTGTGCAGCCATATTCTCTTGGTATGTTTATTAATCACCAGTCAGGTCAGGAGTGCTTCAGTCGAAGATGAGTCCCTTGAATTTTATCCAGTATCTTAATCTTGTAGGGAGATGTGCTGCCTTTAAAACAAAAATCAAGAGTTAACTTTTTTTTTTAATAAGTAGAAGTAGTATACTCTTAAAATAACAAAAAAAGTTCCTTAGACTATTAAATACATTAACTGGTAACGATCTTTCATTATAATTTTCAAATATGTAATATATATAATTTTTATGTGTTATATACTTTTAACACATATACTTTTATACAACTGTCAGTGCAGTAGGTTTATTTACACCAGTATCACCACTAACATGTCAGTAATGCATCATGATAACTATGTTATCACTAGGTGATATAAATTTTTCAGTTCAATTGCGGTCATATAGAACCACTGTTGTATATGTGATTTTACTGACTGAAATGTTAAAAAATGCATAACTGTATATCATCTTAAGCTTTAATCCTTATCCTTACTTACTTTTTGGTATGTATGTATTTTGAACACCTGAAGGAACTAGAGGGATACACACACACGCACAAACACACTGGACATTAATATATTCACAATTATATTTTAAACTTTTCTTTTTAACTACTATGTAATCTTATTTTTTCACTTATCACATTTTGGTATAAAATCTTGTTTCTTTTTTTAAAATTACCATCCCACTTTTATTTTTGGTTAATAATTACTTTATATATTTTTTCTTTGTATCCTGTTTTTGAACTACCTCTTAACTAATGCACTCATGATCAATTCTTAAAAGACTTCAACTTAGAAATTTATCTTTTGATTGGTAACTTAGTTGACTTACATATCTAATTACTGTTTGTTTAGAACTTATTTCCATGATCTTATTTTTGTATCTTTATTATGATTTCTTTTTTCCTTTTTGTCTCACTTCTATCCCTAATAGTTAAGATCTCCCCTGTCTTTGGTGTCCCCCTTTCTGTCTCATTCCCTAAAGCAACCAGCAAAACAACCAATATTGTTGATCAGGATTATAGTCACAAGTTATGAATACTGTGTTTGATAGTTCAATCAAATAAAATTTGGAGTTACTTTCTCATTATTTCTTAGGTGTTATTTGGTGTCTTTGGACTTTTTCAAGATATTAGGATATTTTCCCTGTGCTTTCAGAGACATTTTTGTGTAGTTGACTTTATGAGGTATTAAATATTTAAAGATATCATGTTTCTGTCTCTCATATAAATTATTTAACTGGCTATAAAATTATTAGATCCAAAGGCCATTTTTCTCTATGGAACGTTGATAATGATAATCTATTGTTATCTGAGTTTTGTAATTTATCAGTTCTTTGACTTTTTGTCCCTCTGAAAGCTTTAAAATTTTCTCTTGACTGTTACTAAATTACACTATAACATGTTTAAGTTTTGATATAATTCAGGTCAGTTCAGTTTTGAATTCTTATCTTTCTTTAATTCTAGGAAATCTTTGATATATATTTAAGAAACTGCTGCAGCTGCTACCCCACCTCGTGAATTTTTCTTTCATTCCAGATCTTCTGTTACATGGATATTTAAACTTCTTTTATCCTCTGCATATTATAACTGTTAATGCAGTTTTTTCTTTTTATCCCTTTTAGGGGCTTTTTGGAGGTATCCTTGATTTAACCATCTGTCTCACCAGTAGGTTCTCTAACTGTATGTCTTCTGTCATTTTTCTAGTCCATTGTGTTTTTTAAATTGGTTCCATTCATACCCATTATTTTTAGTTGGTTATTATTTAAAGTACCAGGTTGTATTTCCAATACTCTTTCTTTTGTTATTTGTTATGCTTATTTTGAGTTCTTATTATCTGGGAATCTGTTACTGATTTTGCTTCTTTTATAAGGTGGCTTATTTTGTTATACTTCTCTCCAAGAACTTGTGTATTTCACACATTTCATCTTCCCTTTTACCTGTCTTTAAGATTCCATATTTCCTTGGGACTAGAACTGCCTTAGCTCTGTATGTTGTGTAGGTATGGGATAACATGGTAGAGAGGCAGAGTAAGAGTGACATCCTATACTATAATTTTTAAAGATTTCTGATGCCTTCAGGGAATAGAATGGGGTTGTTTTTTGTGGTGTAGAACTTCTGGTGTTGCAGTTAGGGTGTAGCTATTGCCTATCTGCTTCTCTTCTAGATGGTCTTAATCAGCATTCCTCCCAGTTCCTTTTTTTTTTTTTTCCAATTCATTTAATTTTATTTTTTTCTTTTTTAATTGCTTTTATTTTTTAAATACATGACAGTGGAATGCATCACAATTCTTATTATACATATGAAAAATTGTGTTCTATATCTCTCCCAGTTCCTTTACCTCAGCCTCTGTTGGGGGCTACCACTTGGACATAAATGCTCCCATGTATTTAGGAGAAATGGGAAGGAAAGAGAATGTTCAGGGGCTGGCCAACCTTGCTCTCCTGGTTATCAGTTTTTGCCTCATCTGTGACCTTATGTGGTATAACCCCATTGCCTCTTGCTGGTGCTGCTGTTTTCCTGCCCAAGGAAAGAGAGAGAGAATAGGTTACATGAAGGAAGTTCTGTTTTCCCACAAGTTATTTTTTGCTGTGGTATATAGATCTTCTTACACTTGCAAGAACTATTCATTTAGTGGTAAGCACCATCCATTGTCTTTTGAGGATTTCTCAAAGAGTTTTGTGATAAGTTTTTTTTTTTTAAACTATTAAGCTTTTCTCTTGTCTCTGTACCATTTCTAGGGTTTTATTCCTTGAGAGAGTCAGCAGATTGTGTTGGGTACCTACCTTGTCTCTTCCATTCTTAATTTTTTTCTTTACTTTTTATTTGTTTTTATTGGTACATTTTAATTATAAATAATTGATTCATTATGTCATATTTGTACATGCACATGACATAATTTGATAAATCACATCTCCCAGCATCTTACTTTTCCTTCCCCTTCCCTTTCTCCTTCCCTCATCTGCTTGCTCTGTCTCCCTCCTATTATTATTTTAATTAGTGCATTATAAATATATATGTATGTAAGTGGTATCACTGGGGTATGTTCATATGTGTACATAGCATAATTTAGTGGATTTTGTTTCCCATTACTTCCCTAGGCCTTCCTGTCCTTATTCCCTCTTGATCCTCTTCTCGTTTGTTTCTTTTCTATTTTGGTGAAATCCCTTTTTTTAAAAAAAATTTCTCCCCCCAGTCTTTTAAAAATGCTTTCAAGTACATATATATGCTTAATGTTTTTACTTAATTGGAATTATTTGTATATTTCGGTGAATAATATATTTTTGTCCAGCAATATACTGGGAACACCATGTCAGGACAAACATTTGTTACTCTTAAAAAGTCAGGAAATAGAGGCCAATTTCTAATTTGTTAAAAACCTAAGAATATCCACTTGAATCAAATGTATGAAATATGATATGTCAAGAGCTTTGTAATGTTTTGAACAACCAATAATAAAAAAAAATCTAAGAATATAAAACTTGCTGTTTGAATGAATTGACTTAATATAACTTTTACTTCAATGGTCCAAAAATCACCTTTTAGATAGTTCTGTGTTTTCATCTGATAAGTCTTAAGTTTTATTTATAAACTTCTTAAGAATGGGGATTCAAATACTGTTTTTTAATCTCCTATGTTCAATACAGTGCTTGAATCCTAACTTGAAGTTAATAAGTTTTAATATATTTTTTTCTGGTTCTTGGGATTAAACTCAGGGATGCTTTACCATTGAGCTAAGTTTCTGGGCCTGTACATATATATTTTTTTGAGACAAGGTCTTGCTAAGTTACTGAGGCTGGCCTTGAACTTGTGATCCTGCTGTCCCCACCTCCTGAGTCAATAGAATTACAGGTGTGCACTTCTATGCCTGAAAATAATCTTTAATAAACAGAAATATTTCCCTTTGTAGGATTTATCAACCTCTTTAGAAGCAGTGTATGGACAGGCCAAAGAAGGAACAAATTCTGAAGAAATACTTAAAAAATTTTATGAGTGGAAGTGTGATAAAAGACAGGAATTCACCAATGTGAGGAGTGAAACTGAGGCTTCTCTGCAACATCTTGTAGCATGGTTCCAGAGCACTCTAAAGGTAAAGAAAACTCTTATTCAGTGCCATTTGTGGCATAAAATGGGGGGGGGGGGACTCCATATACATTAATCATATCCTTTGTTTAAAAGCTAACATTGTCTACTCATCCCTGTCAGGTTTAAATTTGCTACCTGAGGATCAAGGTTCTTTATCAGCTTTTAGTCAGACTGCTCCTTTCATTATTGTCAAAACAAAACAAAACAAAACAAAAAAAACACCCAACAACAACAAAAACAAAAAACAACAAACATCATTTAGGTTTTGCTTTTGCTCTTACTTTTCCTCTGCATTGTCCTCTCACCTTTCTTAAACACTAATTTTCTTTAGGTATGCTACATGCATGTAACTTGTCTTTTCTGGTACATGTGTTTTATGAGGGTAAGTCTTTTCTTTTTTCCTCTGTAATCTTATTTCCCCTGTATCACTCAGGGCATTCCTAATGCTTTTTTTCAGGTATAAAGGTAAAATGAATCCTAACTGAATTAATTAATTGAGTTTATTTATTTTTTATTTTTTTGCAAATGAGGTTTTTGATCTGTCTTTGGAAGAATCACTGATTTCTGAAGACACACTTGGTAATATTGACGAAATCCTAGAGAAGACTGAGTCATGTGTCTGTAAAGAGCTGGAAATATCTCTGATTGTGAGTAATGATATTCTTTATTATTGCTTTCTTTGAAGCAGTGTTTTCTCTTGTTAGAAAGTATTAACTATTAATTACTTTTTTTTACTTTTTAAAATTATTTTTAATTACTTTTTTTTAAAGAGAGAGGTGAGAGAGAGAGAGAGAGAGAGAGAGAGAGAGAGAGAGAGAATTTTTAATATTTATTTTTTAGTTTTTGGCGGACACAACATCTTTGTTTGTATGTGGTGCTGAAGATCGAACCCGGGCCGCAT